ATCTTGGTCTTGGCTCTTACACAGTAACACTCATCCTTCCTTTCCCTCCCCCTGAATTTCTCCACTGAAACTCTGCATGTTTTGTCAGCTGCTACGAAGAAATCCAGAGCGGCGTCTTGGAGCTGGAGAGAAAGATGCTGAGGATGTGAAAAAGCATCACTTTTTCAGGGTGAGTACAAACTAGTATTATTTCTAAGGACACAAAGGAGTAGAGATGGAGAAACTAAACATCATTCATTTATTTTACAGCAAATAGATTGGCATGCTTTACTGGCCAAGAAAGTCAAGCCTCCTTTCGTACCCACCATTAGAGGACGAGAAGACGTTAGTAATTTTGATGATGAATTTACCTCTGAAGCACCTATCCTCACTCCACCTCGGGAACCAAGGATACTTTCAGAAGAAGAGCAGGAAATGTTCAGAGATTTTGATTACATTGCTGATTGGTGTTAACTTCCACACACTGTGAAGCCCCAGCTGACTGGCTCACAAGAATGCCTCTCTCTGAAGAATACCGACCCTTCAATTGCTTTCTGTGCCACCTGTAGCTTCTGGGTTTTTTTAAATCACATGAAGATCCTTTTAAGTACTGTTTTAACACTCTTGTGAAGAGTGGCCTCTTTGTATATTGTTTTTTATATGAGCACTGGAAAGCAGGTCTATGGCGTTCCTAAGCTGAGTTGGTGAACCCAGGCTGTGTTGAACTTCCTGCACACGGGCACACGTGGATCTGTACAGTTTCTCTCACTCTTCCACAGCAGATAATACCGCTTTTTAAAGTATCTGCCTCAAGTGGGAAAAGCAGACTTTGAGCTAGGTAATCTCCACTCAGCCACACTGAAGTAAGTTGGGACACCGGTGACACTCACACAGAAACTGGTTCTAGTCGGAGAAGGCAAATTATTTCAGCTAAATACTGTGCAGTCTTTAAAACTACACATTTTTATGTACACCTTCATCTTGTGTTCTTAAAATAATGGTATTGAGAACAGATATGCCTTGTTTTGTAAATTTTCTATGGTATTTATTAGGAAAAATGTTAAACACCTTGCCTTTGAGATAACAACCGTGTAAGTGCTTCCATTACAAAGAAAAACCCAGAAAAATCCGGAGAGTTTACCAAAGTCACTTGCCAAACAGTTTTGCCTTCAAACTCCTTGAGCACGGCTTAAGGCCCTGGTTGGGATGAGGAATGTAAGGAGGATGCTGCTCAGTGTAACCCAGAGCAGAGCAGCTGAAAGACCCAAGCCCGGCCCCTCCCGTACTCACCTCGAGCCTTTCCCGTGCCCCGAGGGGGCAGAGAAGTTCCCAGTCCGTATCCAACCCCCTCCACCCTCCTCTGTCTGCTGTACAGTATCATATCACTTAGGAAACGTAAGGATTTTCAATGCATACATGCTGTGAACATGTATATTTGGAAGTTGTAATGTATTCTTACCTCCAGGCAAGTAATTTAATTGTACCACTTCACCGGTGTTGCGTAGTGGCCAAGTGAACAAAAAAATGTATCCGTGTAGGCCACTGACCTCCAGCCCCTGGATTGGCAGTTACTGAGAGTAAAAAGCAATATGTTGTAATAGAATGTATAAATATTTTTGATAAAAACAGTGTATATTTTATAAACCCCTTAACACTAAAAGCTGTACCTCAAAAGTTGAAAAGTAATTTAGACCAGACACTGTGTGTATTTGTAAACCAAGACCTATTTTTGGCATCTACTGTTCTGTGGGCAAACATTTACTCTTGGAAAATAAATTTCCCATGTGCTCCTTCCCTCTAGCACTATTCAACACTGTAACCTCACACGTTCATTCTGGCCAGGAGTTTCATGGGCTAAGGCACTGAGCATCACACTCAAATGATTTAAAAACTGGTAATTTTATTAATTCAAAGAAAAAACATAAACCACTGGAGTATGCAATGCTAAGGTGGTGGTTGAAAATCAAGATGCTGGACAGACCTGCAGGGGAGAGGCTTAAGAGAGAAAAAAATAAAATAATGGTTACTAGGTCTAAATCAGGCCAGTCCCCCACAGGATGGGGCAGGCACCTTCCCCTCTGCTACAAATCACATTGGGAAGAGTGACTCAACTCCTCAGCATTCCTTGTTTCCAGGTTCTATATTGATTAGAATCAAATTATGTTCCTGTATCTAGCTGAAACCAATACTTTTGAGGTACAGTCAGCTCGCCCTTTTTGGTTCCCAAATATATATATACACAAGCATCTCAAAGGGTGCTTAATACTTACGAAAGTATCCTCAAACATACCTTTTTGTAACTACATCTTGTACAGAAATCTTTTTTTAATCTAAGCAAATCACTAAAAAAAAAAAAAATTAGAAAAAATTAGAGGGCAGGGTATGTTCACCCAGTTAAGCTGAAAAAAGCACTAATTTTATCTCTGTAGTTTTTTAAATATTTTTAGGCAGATTAAGATTTAAACCCTAGATTGTAAATATATTTTGCTATACTTTATCTGTATGTGGCTGCTCAAGCACTTTGTAAGGAAATTAGGATATTTTAGAATGGTACACTATGCATTAAATGAAATGTGCCTTTAACAAATGTCATTCTAAGTGTTTTGCAGTCATTAATATCACAAATTAAAGTTCTAAATAGAGTAATTTGTAAATTGTGTCGCAAACATGATTTTGCTGTTTCTTGAAGTGGCTGGTCATGTTTTCTCCACAGGTAACTTCAGAAAAGATCTTACTGTCAGGAGGGGATCTACTCTGGTGGGAGCTTAGTAGGCTTCTATTCTTTTTAATTTTTTTTAAGGAATATCACAAACTGCGTCTGAGCGGTCTGGCTCGGAGCAGTGCCGAGAGGAGCAGCCCCTGGCCTGACTCTGCGCTCTCCCTGCCAGGCCTCCCCTGAGGGCAGGGGACACAGCTCAGCCGCTCCTGGGAACTGCTCCACTGCAGTCTCCTTCCTACCCACCCTTCCTTAGCGAGCTGTGTAACCAAACCACACTGAGCTCCTTCTTTACGCAGTCTAGAGGATGAAGCTTTCTTCTGAGTGCATTTACAACAGAATTCTTTACTCTTACGAGCCACATGGAATTTCGCGCGGCCATTTTGCCCAGAGACGGACACTTCATACCTGGCTAAGCAATCGCTCCAGAAAGGGCTGGCTCCAGAATTTCAAGGATCGAGTCTGAACTGCCGTTGAATTAAGGCTCGAAGAGGTCCTGCCCTCGCACTTGTGTGAGGGGAATGCGGCCCTTCATCGCCCTGCCTGCTCCCGGGCCGGCTGCTGAGCCGCCCCTCAGGCCCAGCCCCGGAGAGCGGAGCGCCCAAAGCCCGCCCTCTGCCTGAGGGCCCTGCCCCTGGTCTGGCTGGCACAGCCGGGCAGGAGCACCAAAGTGGTTAGAGCTCCCTAAAAATGAATTCCGAGCTAGGCCATATTTTTTCCTGCTATGCTTCACATTAACTAGCATACTGCAGCCAGTAGTCAGTGGCCTTCCGAATATTCCTGCCCCTTCAAGCAGATTCCTAGTTCTGCCTGTGTGCTGCACAGTTACTGCCATCTCCACATCTCGGGAGATACAGGAACTGCTTGTGGAACCTGCAGGGTCAAGGCAGGATTGCAGGTCCGTGCTCCATCTGCTGCACTTAGAGCTTTGCACAAACGTATTTAAATTCCCGTCCAGGCAATCTTTGCTGTACACAACACTTTCAACTGCAAACACCCAGCACATATCAAGTACTCAGGCCTAATACCTGAAAGGATTTAAGTATAAGCAGTAAGGGCAATGTACATTTCAGTCAGTTTTAGCCTTCATGGAGTAGATTTAACCCATAGATCCATGCTGGAAAGTTGCATTCACACTAAAACCAATTTCCACCTTTGCATTCACAAGCTGTAACAGTGCATTAAAGGTCAGGCCCAGTCCATTCAAAGCATCCTGCCTTCATCCACAGAGGATGCAGGTGGAGTAGCTCAGACCAAAGCCGGGAATGCCCGGATAATAGAAAATGTTGCAACAAAAATCAAAGGCAATACAATCAGACAACGAATATATGACCTCCCAGCTACTGAGTGTACCCCTTCTAACATGTGCACCAGAATCTTTCATGGCTGCAACTAACAGTTCCTGTGGTGTAAGAGGACTGTACAACCTTTGTTGTTTATTTACAGAAAAATACGTTGTTTCCACATTTCTGATATCTACTGGCAGAAGAGGATTAAAGCTCAACTACCAAAAAAGAAGTGAAGGCTACTGGCAATTATAGCACTGGACTCAACCTTCCCTCTGGGTGGCTTAGGACCAGATGTGCAGCAAGCTGACTCCTCAGCTGTTCATTTGTGTGGTTAAACTGAATTTGCACCTGTGATACAAAATCTCAAGAACCACAAGAGTTAAGTACATTTGTTGCTTTGTACACAGAGGGACATTGTCAAGAGGCAATCAGTGTTCAAGGCTGAACAACTTCAGGCCTTCACTCAGCACCTGACATATCAGTTCAAACAGCAAGTGCTCACTTACAACCACAGGCCAGCCAGACTGTAGGGTGGGCTGGCAGGCCAGAAATTTAACAGAAACTCGTATTAGAAATACTTTTTACTTTTCTTTGTACAGTACTAAGCATCATGAAGTTACCAGCAATTCACTAAAGTCAGTCCTCATGCTTCTCAGTAGCTACTTTGTCATTACATCCAATTCACAGCAGAAAAGCAAAGATGTCAGTGAGAATCACAGAGACACTGCCAAGGAAGGGATTACTCCTTTTGCAACCAGTTTGGAAATACTCTGCAACAGTTGTGCAAAACTTCGAACGACATTTCAGCAACTGTTTACATTATGGGTGCAGGCACCCACACTACAGCTCCCTACAACTACTAGAGGAGTCTAGAAATCAGAAATTGTCCAGAAAATGAGCATTTAAGCAGTCATGTGACCAAGCATGAAGCTCACTCCACCATTCCATGGACTGCATTCCAGTTCTCAGCATGTACAACAGTACATGCATGTCACATTGCAGTCATACCCACAAGATGGTGTTTTTGGAAAACAGTTTATTTGGGAATTACACAATATTCTCCAAATCCCTACAAAAGAAATAAGTACTAAATCTAAATAAGTACAACAGTATCAAATTAAAATTGTTGCAACAATTATTAAATATTTACTTCCACTAATATATACATACAAAATGCCACACAATGAGCTTGTTTACCCTTGGAATGTATGCTGCCTTCCAGCAGTTATGCTCCATCTCCATATCCTCCAGTTCCACAACACGAAGACCCAATATTAACACTTTGTACATCCTTTATTATAGGCAAAAATAAAGAGTTTGTTTTTGTTGGGTTTTTTCTGGGGGGGAGGAGGTTAACAGAAATTAACCCTCTGCAATCTCACAGCTGTGGTAGCTTGTCTACTGGGGTATCAAACTTGAAATCTGCTGGGAAAAGATCTGGAGCTCGAGGATAGATCAGCCTGTATGACTGTCTGATCGTAACATCAGCCACACCAGCAATATCACCAATTTCTACAACAAAAAGCAGAGAAGTGATTAGTTTTTACTTTTGCCATTTGTATTCAAGAAACCAACAAACATAACTTATCAAGAGGCACTGGACACTTGCTTCACCTGCAACTCTCCCAAAAGCCTGGTAGAAATGGTTTTAACTGTGGTAACTAGTATTTTGGATACATAACTCTGTCTTCTTATGTGCCACAATTCAACTTAATCTATAAATTGTGGAATAACAAATTTCAAATTGGCAGAGGGGTAAGAGTGTAAAAAAGTTATTAGAAACATCTACTGCAACTGCTACATGTAACCAGCAATATTTTAACAAATCATTATCAACTTCTGGCTCTTCATTTTAATGCTTTAATTAAATATAAGCAAAAAACAAGCAAAAAACTGAGTCACTGACAAAAACTGATACCTTCAGTTAAATATTAAACACATTTACCTTAAAATGCACCAATAAATAAGGCAGAGGCCACTGTCTAACAAGCTGAGAGAACACTTGTTTGAGATGCACGAACTTAAATTTTATTCAAGAGTTAGTCAAGTTAGGAATTTAAGCCTTGAACTGCATGAGGGAGCCTTCAGCACTGTCTGAAAACACTGGAGCAGTGCAGAGCCACGGTGCCCACGGTAGGCAGCTGTATTTTAACAATCACTCCTAAGAGATGCAACCCAGTAGCTCACAACCAGCAAGGATGAAGGTACTGAACTTCCTGGGCTCCAGATCACTCACAGGGCCAGGACAGTGCCAACAGGATGGAAGCTCCAAGGACATAAGCAGTTATAAATGCAGAACAAAAACACCATAACCTGACAGATAAAAGCTATTCTTTATCCAAAAGGAACTCTCCATTAAGAAATTGCTACATTTTCAACATTTCTGATCTAGACTGTACAACTCAGTGGAGCACCTGGATCCATTTCTCACATCAAGTTCTACCCCCTGCAGCCTTAGCAAACTTCTTTCCCCAGGCATTACTGCCCTGTAGGCCTCATTCTCTTGAACTCCAGGGGCTGATCCATGCTGCTCTGTGGCTCAAGAGCCCTGAACTCCTTACTGGCTCCCCATGGGCTACTCTACCAGCAGGGAATCGTCCCTACCTGATCCACAACAAGCCTTGCCATCCCATACCTTCCATCTTTACCATAAGTTCACAGTAAGTCAAGGACTATGTACTAATGCAGGTGATTCCCAGGCTGCAGGAATGATTAAAGATTCAATGTGATCCAAAGCCCAGGTGCTCCCTGTAACTACTGCCTAGTTTGTGTTTGGAGTATTTCAGAGCAGCAAAGTAGACACACAAAAATAGTAGCATAGGTGAACTTAAATTATTATTTTTATAATTATCATTTGAATGCACTGGTCCATTGCATTCAAGAATCCAACTCCTAATACCAGAAGAAAATGAACTCAGTTTACTCTAAGTGTAGCCAATTACTCCATGTTCATTTTGGGGACTGGGAGATCCTGGTTTGTTCCTTGCTGTATGTAGTTTGAATGGAGCTTATCACTGTTTGCACAGACCTCATCCAAGTTTTACAGTAACACTGAATTTTCTTTCAAGAAGACATGGCAAACTAACAAAAAAAAAAAAAAAAAAAAAAAATCAAGTCTTACCTTTCTGTGTCCTTTTCTCTGAAGAAGCCTGTGATGCCATGTAAATAGCTGCAGCTGCTACAGAGATAGGGCTTCTCCCAGGAACCAAATCTAATTCCACAGCTTTACGGGCAATATGTGTTGCTGCCATTTGTACTTGTTTGGGAAGACCCAGATTAGAACAGAATCGTGACATGAAGTCTCCAGTTGTAATCAAATCAACACTGGTTTCCAGAGCTTTCAAAATAAGTTTAAAACACCGACCTATTTCTTTCTTTGAAATCCTGGACACTGCACATATTTCTGAAAAAAGAGGATAAATTAAATCTTAGGCTTCACAGCATTTGCTTCCCCTCTAAATAATCAAACTTGATTCTCAATATATTAAGACCCACAAAGAAGGCCAGTGTCCTGAAGGCCACCATCACTAAATAAGCTCATTTGTGAAACTTCTCTCAGTGCAGATTTATCATAAGGCACTAATTAATACAGTTCACTTAACTAAGGGAAATTTGGTACTCAATGCTAGAGAGTTGCATCTCTGTTAGGGAAAAATTGCATAAATTTACTATGGAACTGCTGGATCAAATACAGTTACAGTCTCCACTATCCTCTGATCAAAGCAATGCCTTTTAAGTTTCACCAACATTCAAAGTAACTTTCAAATACTAAACCCCCCCATACTGAAGAGCCTACTCCACAAATATAACAAATTCCCCACAGACTCTCCTACCCTCCCCTCAAAGGTGAGCTACAGCTGAGAACAACTAATTTGAAAAAGTCCAGGAATAAGAAAACCAATCTTACAGTGAAAGTAACTAAACCTCTCCTTCAGAGCAAAACTGAATCTGTATCACTGAAAACTTACCTTTAAATGTTCTTGGAACACCCTCTTGCCTACAGGCTATGTAGAGACAAGCAGAAGCAATAGCATCATTACTTCTCCCCTTCAGGCTCTTTTGCTCATACACTTGCTTGAATAAATTATTTGTTCGATCCTTCAACACAAGAAGATGAAATTTAATTAACTCTAGGCCATTTAATTAGCAGCAATATCAAAAATTCATGTGTTCATTATATTATGCTAACTAAGTCAATGCCAGAACAATTTAAGGATGGGAGACATGAACTTACAACTATATTTCTAGGGAGGTTGATTCTGTCTGCCATGTTTGTAATTTCTTTAAAAGCATTCATCATGGCACGATCAGAGCTGCTCATAGTTCTGCGATTTTGGTACTTTGAATTCCCAAATTCATCAAAACTTGCTGCACCTGTGCCCTGAAAAGAAAAATTCGTATCATCAATAATAGAAGCAACTTCCTGCTCGCTTCAAGAGCAAACATCTTCCAGCTTCATACATTTTAATTCAAGGCAACAGTTCCAACAGTTGTGCAAATAAACATCACTGAAAGTAACTCATTCAATGGAGCATTGTTCCACATAACAGGTCCTATCTACATTTTGCACCAGTCTCAAATAGTGAATTGCTTCCCAGAGACCACAGATTACATGGGGCTTTTTCTTCCCTCATGTAACAATAGTTACAGAGTCAAAAAGATAAAGATAATATATAGCCAATGTATGCATCTCAATACTCCTGTCAGCAGTGCTGAGGTCCAGGATGATATTCTATGCAACTCGTGTGTCCTTTGGGCCGCATCTATGGCAGACAGGTGAGTCAGAAAAACAATTTTATGGTCAGCTGGAGACCAGTTGCTAGAATGATAACCATCATAGTGAAGGCATGGGCAAAGAAAACACATAAACCAATGACCCAGCCAAACCCAACTTGATACCGTGCCTGTTAGAGGCTGCAAGCCTTAATCAGAAAACAGAAATATCCATGTATTGTGACTTAATGGGAAAATCATAGGCCTCTTAAAAGAAAAGCTTGAGGTTTTCAGAGAATTGAAAGCCTCAAATTCAACCTGGCAACTTCAAAACAAGCTTCCAAGGTACAATTTTGCTTGTACCTTACAAATGATAGTGCAATTTGCATGCTTCTATTAAATATGCAAATTTGCCCAACCAAGAGGGTCTAAAATGTTTAAGGTTTTCAATTTGCCAGCAGTCCAAAACAAGTCTTAACCAAATAATGCCATATCAGATTAGTGATAGCTGATGAAAACAACATATCCTGGAAGTTCAGAAGAGCAATGTCTAATTCATATTATCCACATATGTGCTCACTGTCACAGTATACAAGGGGCCCCAAGTTCTTTCAAGTGGAAACCACTTCTTCACAATTCCATCATGTGCAGAAACCTGGATTTCCTGAATCTGCAAGCATTTATTCCTTGCTGGTACCTTCAAACAATTTACCTGGGATGAGGCATCCAACTTTCACTACAGACACCGACTACCACACTGTCATTTTGCCAAAACATAGAGCAGGTCTTCATCTGTGACTGACTGATAACTTGGCCAAGCACTTGCACACAGTTCTCAAACTGAATACCCAGCAATGGATTGAGATGTCAGGCTGTACAAAGTGGGGTAAAGACACAGTGAACAAAGCATAGAACATGCATCACCTTTTTCTTCTGAGCTGTCCAGTTTCTTCATTCCTGACCCATGTTCTTGGGAATTGCTCTTTTATTTTAACACAGGCTCTAACTCTATAATCTCTCAGGTGCACTTCTGCATTCAATACATGGTCTCTGACTGACAGTAACACTCGCTCTTGACCATTCACTTACACTGTTCCCCTTCCCATGCCCAAGGCCTCAGTGACACCCCACTTCCAGCAGCCCCAGTGGATCCCTCCCTGCTGAGACATTTGTGGTACTCGCACACCTTGATTCACTGTGGCAATCAAGGACTTTGGCATAGAATCCTCCTCACAAGTCTCCCTAGCTCCTTCAACAGATTCCAGAACCATTCCTGGTTTTTTCCTACTACTTCAAACATCCTTTAGTACAAAATAGGCACCCAGATGGGACCCTGGCACTAACACAGCAGAGGGCTGCTCCAAAGGCAATCCTACTTCCTCGGCTGGATGAACAACTCCAACTATTCAAAGGTTCCCAGTAAGATGAAAAGGTAAACAAAGAGCAAGAATAAAGCACAACAAACTTCAAGCCACAAAGAGCAATACTAGGCCTGCCATCCAAAAATTATGCCAGAACTCCCCTTGGCCCAAAGTATACAGGAGTCTCAGGTCCAAAGGCTCTCCTTTGCTGGCCATCAGTCATACCTCATACCTCTGTTCCTGCAGTGTGTTACATTTGTGTATATCATGGCCTCCTAGACCCGTACTATGCACAAATGCTTATAGGAACTGCATGAGCATAAACAACAGCAAGTCCCCAGGCTTCATAACAGAGACTACCAGGAAATATTGCTCTGTCCTGGAGCCAGCAAGGATTCCCCTTCACCACAGGGATTTTCCCTGGTCCACTGGTTAAGGAGTTAAGGAGAACCAAAAAAAAAAAAAAAAAAAAAAAAAAAAAAAAAAAAAAAAAAAAAAAAAACAAAAAAAAAAAACAACCAACAATACATCTAGTAGGTGCTGTGGAGTGAAACTAGACAAGGATTTTACCCTGCTAATGTGAGCCCTCTTCAAGAGCCATGCCCAATATACAACTCACAACTATAAAAGGGGTGGAAAACACTTCCACCTCAATTGCTTACATAAACCACAGAAATTCTCCCTGCATTTGTTATTTAAATGTCCCATCTACTTTCCTTCTGGAGCTTTGAGGGACAATGCTTTGTTGACTTCAGCCCTTGACAACCATGTTAGGAGTCCCTTTCCCTTCATGGAAAAAGAAAAAAGCTACAGAATTTTAACTGAAATGAAATAGACTTTATGAATCATGTGGTTTACTGTTGTAGCCTTTGAGTCAGGATTTCTACCTCTTTGGCTTTCAAACAGAACAGAAACCTCACGGATACAATCCTGGAAACAACCTTCAAGGTAGCTGAAGTGAAAAAAATGCAGTCAAGTAAATAGTGACAATCTCTGAAGGGGCTCAGTGGAGGTCAGGTTTACATTCAACAGCTCTGAACCCCAGTATTTCCCCACAGCAGCAGAAAGTTTAAGTGTGACCAGTATCATCCACATCACAGATTTGTGGTTAACCACAGCACCAACACATGCCCTCAGATCCAGCAGTCTTCTTGCCCAGTACAACCAGCTCATAGGATCTATCAGACTGATCTCTTTCTCCTTTTTCCATCATCAGCCCCTGATACCTTCTCACTGCCTATCAATATAGCACTTTCAGATTCAGGCCATGCACTTTAACAACAGCCAGCTTCAGAGACATCTGATGAAATGAAAGGATAGGAATTCTATGCCAAGAGATTGCATTAGATCTTTGTTCAACTAATATAAAATCCCTTGGAGTCGCAGTTACAACAACAACAACAAAAAAAAAAGACTCAATTAACTAGCAAAGGTGACAAAAGACTTTCCATAAGATAGGAAACAAAACTTAGTTTGCTTTTAGACTCATAGAAGAGTTCCCTATATCAAAGCAAAACTAAAAGCTGCTTGTTCAGTTATTTTTCTTTAATTTTATGTTAGAATTTTAGAAACAACTATAACCTTCTGGCAGTTAAGTCACAATTAACATGACACTTCACTATGCTTCCAATAGATCTGCATTGTAATCAGATCAACTGCAGCACACGTTATCTAATTTCAGAGTTACAGTTCTGTGCCAGTATCCTGAAGATCTGCTTGTGGAATTCAAACCACTTCCACCACTGCCAACTATGCTATTCACCCTCCTCTTCACAGGCAAATTAATCTTTGTTCCAATGCAGGCTGCTGCCTCAGACAGATGGGTTCCTCAAGCATTAAAACCAATTAGGAATGAATCCCTTTGCACGGGCAGAGCAGCCTCTGCTGCTAACACATGGAGACCACACACCCCCACAGGAAGGGGCCCCAGACAAGCACCTCCTGCCTTCCCAGAAGAAAGAGACAAACCACTCTGGGAAGCAGAACTGACCCTCTTCCTCTACTGTTACAAAGTAATACTGTTATAACTGGTTGAGACTCCATTTCCACCTACAGTTCCCAGGAGTTACAACAGTTCTAACACGATGTGACATGAGAACTATCAAGGTCCTTCTCTTTTGGATTTCTCACAAGACAGGTTGTGTTTTAGGGGTTTTTCTAGTGGAGGTGTTTTTGGGAGGGAGGAGCAGGTCAGCTGTAGAGATTTTATTATCTGTAGTCCTACCTCAAGCAGAAAGAAATAGCCCCGGTCCTGTCCCCATTAAAGGTTAAAGCCATCTCTGGCACACAAATATTGGGTCTACTCCTGGCCATTCTAAGAATTGCTGTTAACTAGGAAAATAATAATCTTATTTTGCTTCATTCTCTTAATTCTCTGGAATTCACAAAGGCTGTTCTGTACTCTATCAGATACTATTTATCCTCTTCAAGACTACACCATTTCACTTGTGTTCAACCACTGTGTACACCTAGGTCAATCCACATGCCAGCCTAATGCTAGCAGGGACTTCATATGACTGCTTGAGAAACAGACTATTTCCTTGAGTTAGTTATTTTTGCGACTGCATGAATAAAATTCATACCCTTTCTGCATTGACAGATTTCTTCAGCATCTTCTGATAAAAGCCATTCACTTCCTTCCAAACGACTGAAAAAAAAAAAGCAGCCCCTCCTTATACAGAGCTCACATCAATGAACTGACATCCTAGAGCTCCTGCTTACTAGCAAGACAAACACAGGAACTCCTGCACAGAAAACATCCTGGTTTGTCAAAGGGACTCTCAACTTCCCTTAGAAAATAATGCACCTTCTGCAATTCCTCCCTGTGCAAATAAAGTATCCACAGTTGGACTGACTGCCCCCTCGACATTCCACAACACAATCCTGGCAGTTCCAATACTTTTTACTCAGTTCTCATAGGTCAATTCATGCCACTCTAACACTCCCACATCTTGTCTTCATGGAATGGCACTCTTTGCTACAGCAAGTTAGGTCATGCCTATTCTGGGATGTTCTGGTTCACAGCAAAACTTTCATTAGTTCAATGTCCATCTCAAAGTTTGGAGCTTTCATGGGCAACAAACTTTTCATACAAGTTTCTGTCTGTCTTTAATTCTCTCACTAAGGCTGCTACCCCTCTTTATTCTAAATTAGGATCTGAACCTGCAAAGGGAAGGGGGCTATCAGCATAAGTCACTGATCACCTGGACACAAAAATCTATCTTCAGCTGAAATGTCTTTTGTCTTTTGCAACACACAGGTTCTAAAGGAACTCAGGTTGTTCTACTGACTGAATCAAACTGAGGTCCCAGAAACAAACCTTGTATTTACACAGCCCAGAGTAAGAAACAATGTGAACTTGGCACAAATAGTCCATTTTTCCATCTATCTATAAAAGGTATAGATCTTTATCACAGCTGACCAAATCAGCAACAGAAGTCCAAGCCCTCTGAACTACAAGCTTTCTGACCCTATATAGTTGGCATTAGAATTCCAATGACTTCTACAGCACTGCTTCACAGAGCCACTTAGCAATGCCAATGTTTTAATTGAGCAGTGCAGAAATGTGTTAGTCTGAATGTACTCCAAAAGCTACCTAAAATTCAAAAATGTGATAGGCAGCAATGCTTGGAGTCATCCAAAACACAACCATCTACTTGGACAATTTCTCAAAGAGAAGGTTTCTTTTTCACTAATAGGGAAAATTAGCTGCCCATCAGTATTCACTTGCTGACTTCCTTGCTTTGAAGAATTCTTGGATGAAAAGTATGCTGCATACTGCCCTATATGAACATATTTAGGCACTTCATCCTAGCAGCATCACTGGGGCAAAAATTTCTGAGAAAAGACAAAGTGGCAAAAATGCTTTAATCAGCAACTGTACTTCTTTTCATGAAACATTCATGAAATCCCCAAAAATTAATTTAGATCTTGCTGTAAAAAAATTAAGTACAACAATTAAAACTTACCTGGGTCACTACGTCATTAAAGGGAATGCATTTGTGTGACTAGTCCTGCTTGCTTTCAGGAGAAACAGGTTATGATTGCACCACAAAATTTCAATCCAAGTGTAGATTAAATACTTCCATTTGGGGCGCTCACACCATGAAAGAATTCTACATTTAGTACTTTAACATTAATTGCAAGAACATGTACAACATGAGATCTCCAGGTCTCCAATATGAATCTGATACAGATTTCACTACCAAAAAAATGGCAGCACTAGCTATTGAGATCTCAACATTAATTTCAGAACCACCTCAAATACATTTGCTAAGACAAAGTATACTTCTTTTAAAATCACACCATCAGCTTTCCTATTTATAGCAACATATCAAAGGGCAGCAACTAACCCCATAGCACTGCAAACTTTTTTGGGTTTTTTTGCCATGGTTGGTCCTTTCCTTCTGTCCCCAGGAAAGGGCCACATTTTATACACTGATGAAACATGCAATAGTTGAGTTCAGGCAAAAATCTCTTCAAAAATTCCTGTGTTTCTCTATGGATGTACAATCTGGTACTTGGCATAAAAACACTCAGTAAAATTCAGTATTTGCAGTGTTACCTTGCCAATCATTGTACTCAAGTCGCCATCACTCAGCAAAGGATTCTGGGTATCCCCAACTCGAGACGGGTCTTTGGTTGCTTTGTCATTGCTGAACGTTCTCCACTCTGACCCCACGTCTATGACCCGGTCACCTGAGAACAAAGAGCAACACAGAGTCTACATTGACACAGAGCTTTAAAATACTGCATGAAACATCAAGCCAGGCATCTGAGCTCTGCACTGTAAGGAGGCAGACTGCTGGCATTCCCAAACACAACAGTAACAGGCAGGACAATGAACCAGAATGTTCAGGATCTAGTTAAAGCAGTGGGAAAAAAATGCAATTAGAGCTGCACAGAAGACATAAATAACTGAAGGAGCACATCCAGACCACAGGAACTGACACCTTTACAGATTACAGTTATCCATGAAGAACATCATGGCACTTCCAATACACAAAAGGAATCAAGATCTCAATTTCAAGCTGAAGTCAGGACTGTCTCTTGACTGTTCTCAGTCAGTTGCTGTAACTTAACAAGTTCTATCATATTTGCCACATGTTCATAGTGCACATATGTATTATCTATAATGCACAGTTCCATTAAGGTATAGCAAATGACTTCTCTTGCATCATTTCCAGGTCCCTTATACTATTAATTTTGTAACTTCTAACCCACCATAATGACATTCTGCAGTTCAATTTTTGTTCTTGAAGACAGTTCTGACCCTGCCCAATTTCATGATGCTTGACAGTATCAACATAAAATATATATACTCTACTTTTTCTTAAACACAATCAATTCTGTTATAACTGGAAATTTTTCAGTACAGATTCAGAATAAACAGGAAAAGCACCATATTTTCTGAATGAAACAACCTTCCTTGCAGTCTTCTCAATTTCACACCCACCTACACCTTTCCTACAGCAACTCATCAGTTTGAGAAATAATTCTCACCAACATTCTGACACAGGCAAAAGCCCTACAGCAAACACAACAATAGGAGCTAAGGGGGGAAAAATAGAAACACAAAAGAAAACAAACCCCAGCCCCAAACTCAGTGCAGTTTATTGTATTCACAAATCTGATAAAAGCTGCATCTCTAAGGTGTTGCCTCCAGAGCAATACTATAGACTTTTTAAGAACACATGCACAGAAGAACACATAAGGAACACTTTTCTTAGTGTCCTGCAGTAAAGAATACAGCTCTGTGCAGGATGCCAGAAGAAACTTCAGAATTACTGGTACCCTTCTTAGCTAAACCTGAGGAAAAAATCCCCACTTTCATCAATGTTTATGTTTGTTATGAGAGAAATGTCTGCCAAAAATGTAGCATTGATTGCGTAATTTCCAGTATGGAAGTCTTGGAATGAAATCACAGAGGCTGATTTAACCTGGTGAAAACAGACATTAAAAGGCACTCTGCAAACAATGGTAATACAAGATCTGAAGCTGGAGAAAGTGCAGAAGGTGTGGACAGAGTGATGCAACTGCAGAATTCCCTGGAGGATACAAGGGGAATCTATTCTGACAGAATAACTCAATTTTTAACATAAAATTATGTAAGACAAATGCTTGAAATTAGAAGTTGTGAATGAACCAAAAGAAATTGCTACAAAAAAAAAAGAGTAACTTTAGGTTAAAGGTGTTCTCATCAATATCTGTCAGACCTGCTCATAACTATGCCTCCACCTTTATTTACTGCTCTAATAAAAACCAAGAGGGAGAAGAAAAAAACCAACCATGAAAAGCTACAGGGTTACAGATAGAATGGATCTGTGCTGCCTTTTACTCTGCTACAAAGGTCAATCCCCACACCCTTGGCAAGCTTAATTTTGCAGACAGTGTGCTCCTCTGACTCCTGGACTCTCTGTAAATATTTGATTCAGTAATGCTCCTTCTATGGCCTAGCAGTAACTTTACTTTTAGACAAACCCCCAATACTGTTTACAGCAACTAAAAAAAGCAAAATGTACTTAAAATTCTGGCATGGTATAAATAGAACACTGAGTACAGAGCAATGATGTAATATTTTTCCACACAAGTGAGAATGACCTAAATGACTCACTCAGGGATCTGCCTCTTGTGAGTTATGAACCATTCCTGCTCTAACAAAAAAGTTTTATATCACTGCCTGCTTTGACAAACACATCACAAACAGATGAGAAGACTGAGATTACTATTTCAGAGTGAGAAAAGATTAAGTAGAACAAATCACCAAATATAAAGCGTTGGTGTAAATAACATGCAATATGCAAATATCTTCATTTTCCCAAGAAATCCGCTACTGCAGAAAAGAAGGTTTTCTGTATACTGTCAGTGTCATTGAAAATATACAGAAGTCCTAGGCAGAACATTCCATCTTTCAAAAGGCTTCTATAAAAGTGTGACACAAGCTAAAAGTATTAATGAAAATTGAACAAATGAGCCCACGGGTTTCCATAGATGGAAAATGTATTCAGCTACAATCATTAGTTGGATTATCCCATTCAACAAGAAACAAAAAACAAGATACAAAACATGATATTTATCATCTTTAATTCTTCAATACATAAAAACCACTTTGGAACTGTGATTTTAGTACAGATGTAATTAAGCCCCACCCGAAGTGGTCAAAGCAAAACTTTAAAATACTAAACTTAGTCTTACAAAAAGCAGCATAAGAAAACCTTGAAATCTTAACTCAGGACCAAGTTTCAAGTTCTAAACTGAATTTGCTAGGTCATACCCTACTGACTGGCCCTCCTAAACAAGATGGAATATGGGTCCAACAGTCAAACATGAGAGTAAAAAAGCTCCCAGTAAGTATACTATGCAGTTGTCTCTGCTTTCTCACATTATTACACTGGTTTGGGCAACCCCATAAAACTGCAATAAGGGGCCACATATTCCTTGGCTACTTCCTTCTGATGCAGTCCTTTTGAACAAAAGGGCTTCACTAGATACAGTTACAGACTCCTTTATTTGATTTTCCTCTAACAGATGAGCTCATCTCCTCAGCTTCCTCCTCTGAAGTAGATACAAAAACAACAGTTTACAGGACCAAATCCTTGTGAAATGCATCTCCAGGCGGATATCTTTCTGAACAGATCATTTTTTTCTCCATTGCTCCACTTCTTTTCATAAACTACTCTTCCAATATTCAGCTTCTCTTTAAAATACAGTCTAACAGCCTAACACAGGCTCCAGTGCAAACACACTGCCAACTTCCCTGTTTCAGATTACTCATCATCTGAAAAGCTCATTTAGTAAAATGCAGAAGTGCTACTCAGAACAGAAAACCTCAGGCCAAGGTTACTTTTCTTCACAAATGACACATGCAAAGAGCATGTGCTACAGAAATGCAAGAGCAAACTCAGGTCAGACTCAAAAATTAAAACAGAATTTTGAGCAGTTTTTAAAACTTTGCTTGAAACATCTATACATCAAAATTTATGTATGTTTACTCCTCCCCTAAAAAATAAAGCGATTTCTCAGAGGAAAATATTTTCAATCAGCAAGTCCCGAGTTTTCAGTTACATATTTGCAGAGAAATAATACCAGCTATTTTAACATTGCACTCCACTTGCAGTGACTCATAAAACATATATATTTTCTTCTCCTTCTGCATTTTGCATTATGTTATGAGAAGACAAGATATCTTAAAACTGAAGAAATCTAACCAAAACAAGAAATATGATGATATTCATGAGCAATGTAATCTTTCATATCCATTCTTGAAACACTTCTTCTGAGAAGGCATGTTCTAAAGTTCCTTTCAGAGCTCTAATGTTGGCTGTACATTCTATTAAGTTGTGCATATTATTAACTAATATTTTAATTTTAACATAAATACAGTCTTAAAAGTTCATTTGCACTCTGAAATCCCGAAATACCTGTTAGTAGAGAATGTTTCATTCTCACAGTTAGTTAAGGAATCTGCTGCCATCTAGTGAGCACATATATAATACTTTTAATTAAAAACATTTTACAATGCCAAATTTAAACATATATATAGGACACACTTTAAGTTTCAGTCAGCTCCTTATTAAGCAGAGTAATGAAGTGCTGCCACAAACTAAAGTGAAAAAACTAAGGAGCAGACTACAAGCTGGGGAGAATCACAAAGACATGAAACTGCACAGAGCCAGGCTGAACAGAGTCAGATTAAGATTCAGCTCTCAGCCTCTCCTAACCCCTAAATCACCTTTGCAACCTTCTGCTGGACTTGCTCCAGCAAGTCAGTCTCTCCCTGGTACAGAGAAGCCCAGAGCTAGGCACAGTACTCCAGGTATCCACTCCACATTCTATTTATAGCTTACATACTGCCCCAAACGTTAGCACATGATCTTTTTTTCCATTTTTCAGCTTTAGAACTTCTATTAAGGACCAGATGTATTAAATGTTACCAAAGAATAAGCTCACGGGGAGGGAAAAAATAAATTAACACATCACTTTACAGTCACCACTTTTCCTACAAAATTTCCAGCCCTTAGTAAAACATTAGTATTCTTTGTAAAAGTTATCTTGTTTTTAATGAATTGTCAGCACCACAAATTTATCATCACAACCAGCAACACCAGTCTACTCACAAGACAGTTAAAACAACTAAAGCAGGCTTTCAGATGCTAAACAAAACACAAAAACCCCACAAACAAACAAAAAAGCCACAGATTATTTTAACTAGTTGCCAGGCATCAACGGCATCACACCAGTACAAAAAGGCAACTATGGATTAAAACAGACAGTATGGCACCACAGGCAAATGACTGCTACAAGAACAAAGGCTTAGCAGCTTCCTGCATATCAAAATGATGACAAATCTAAAAGGACTTACAGGCTTCCTAAGCCATCAGCTTGCATAATAATTTTGGAGGAAGCAAATGAGAGTAGAAATGTTAAATGATCAGGTGGACAAGTCTGGTTAGCTGAAGTTACACCTCCCCAGGACTTGAGGCCTTTAAAAGATTAACAGCTCAAATACTTGTGAAGGATGTTCCAAACTACAGAATCTCAATTAAAAATATTGTACCTGATCTACCCCATATCACAAAATTTGAGACTCTTTCTATCAGAGAAGTTCAGACTGTTTTTAGCCCTTATTTGCCTCATCACCTTGTCAGCCTGGAAAGGAAGCAAAAATTACTCCCTAAATAGGAGGAATCAAAGTGTTA